AAATTGCAGAATAAAGACTTGCTGTTAGAAAAGAGTAAGAAACAAGAAAAGCATAAGGAATGGAAGGAATGGATGAAGAAAAAGGACTCTGTTTTCTAATTGTACGGAGGAGAAAGTGGTAACGTCTCTGAGCCGGACTGTGGATCATGTGATTTCTGCAGCTGTTGCTGATTTGCGTACGCTTGTCTTTGCAGGGTAGGACGGCAGCAGACTTCGACGAGCCCCTCAGGATAGAAGAAGACTCTCACTGGTCAACACAACAAACGTAAGTTCATGAGCATAGTGTCGTTTCGATTTCCACTTTATGACTCATGTTTTGTTTCTCCTCATTTATTGGTAGATTATTGTATTGTTTGTCATAATTAGATATTTTTCTTCTACTTTTATTAGCACATGTTATTCAGTATCTGTTTGCAGCATCATTCAAAATCAGTAGTGATTTTTTTTTTTTGTGTGTGTGTTTCTTTCTGTTGATTGATGACAATTTAGAATCTACAAGTATCCTCTGAGATTTTACCAGCTGTGATTTTATGATATGGCACCATCATCACCCGTGTAAATACACTGTACATATACATGACTCTCATTTCTATCTTTGTGGCTGCAGGTCAAAAGTCACAGGGGGCACAGAGCTCCACATCGACATGATCAACCAGCTAAAAGAGGCTGTGGAACTGCTGCAGGACCCCAGCAGGTGAAAAACATCAACAGCTGAGTATTAGTTAGAGCTAAGTGATAACCACAGTGAGTCTTTAAGAGTATCCATAGTCTTTGTTTCCCTTTGCTGAGTAATAATTCATATCTGCAGCACTATGTTACCACTGCTGAACTTACTTGATGGCTAAACTATGAGAGAATTAAACTTGACTGAAGTCATGTTTTTGTTTTTTGTTTGTTTTTCTCATTTGTAAGCCAGCACTCTGTGGCATTACTATTGTGTTTTGTGCATCAGGGTGAACACAGAGGAAGATTTGTCTGGAGTCCAGCTCTATCCAGTGGAGATGGTCACAGTGGACGAGTCACTCAAGTAAGATTCCATGAATCTGCGTTTAAGACTACTTGTATTATGACTGTGGAAAAGGTTTTGGCCTGATGGACTGAGGGGAGAAATGTTTTTGTGTTAAAAATCTTTTTTTTTTTAGTTCCGAAAGCATTCTACCTCTATTTAATTCAGTTCGGTTTTATTTATATAGCAGCAAATCACAACAACAGCTGCCTCTAGGTGCTTTATTTTATAAGGTGGAGATCCTACGACAATACAGAGAAAACCCCAAACAACAGATGACCCCCTATGAGAAAGGGCTTTGATATAAAACAGGAAGCAAACCTCCGGCAGAACCAGGCTCAGGGAGGGGAGCCATTGGGGTGAGGGGAGGGAGATGGGACCAAGACACGCTGTGGAAGAGAGCAACAGATTAATGATGAGTAATGATTGAATGAAGAGTGGTGTATGAACACAACAAAAAATCCATCAGTGTGTCTTGTATGTCAGACTTGATTACTCTGTATCATCTTCTCTGTCAGCCCACAGTCAGTGACAGCTATCATTTTATTAACGTTCAATCGATAGCCTCAATTTTTGTAAGTAAATATTCTAGATATGATCAGAAAATCCTGCAAGTTGAACTGGGCTAATTAAACAGGACCAACTATCTCACAATTTTGAGTTTGAATTGAATTCATTCATTTAAAAGGAACAGTGTATATTAGTGAACATATTAATCTTAATATGGCAGAATTAGCAAAAAAGGCTACTTTTCATCTGTAGTCGTTTGCTGTAAATGGGCTGGAAAAAATGGCTATTACAAAGAATTCATCCTGCATCTTTGTAGAAGACAGTTCAATGCCATCTTGTTCCTAAGATGCTTCTAAACCTAAATTCTGAAAATCATAAAATAAATGTCTTCTCTTGTATTTGGGCCAATATGGTCGTTCCTGAAGATAAATGTAGTTCTGATTCTGTACACTGTTTTATGTAGGGTTATGGTAAAGTAGATCACTTGCCCTTATTTTCCTTCTTTTTTTTTTCCTCCTTAGCGGGCAGGACAGTGATGACGGCGCCACAACACCAAAGGTACAGTATGAGCTCTTTACAGCTCTTTACCTCTAACACACATACATGGCATACATGTTTCTTAGTTTCTTAGGACTTCCAGGTTGGTTCAAACTCCAGTTTGTTGGCCAGTAATTTATAATAAAATAGCAACATTCACTGTGTCTGAAGAGTTCTGCTAAAACTTGGATTTTGAGCTTTTTGTTTTGTTTTTGGTTTTTTGTTGGATTTCTGGGTCAGCAGGTGGCAGTGATTTTTATTAATGAGAACTTTCGGGAAATGCCTGCTGGCTCTTCTCTTTGACAAAAGCACCAGAGGAAGTTTCAACAGATGAAAATGTTATTTTGGTATAAACATTTTAGAGGAAAGAATTGGTACTTGCAGCCAAATAATGTTCAAACTCTCCTTCATTTTTCCTTCATGATCCTTGAGCCATCCAAGCAGAACATGTAGGGTCATTTAGAGGGCTAAAGACCCCCTAATATACTGAAGGCATAACTATAGTATACTATGTGATATATATATAGAGAGAGACTAGAAATGAAGAAACCTTTTTCTGGCCTTTTCTTATAGTATTTCAAGTCCTATCCACTACCACTGGGTGGTCCAGTTTGCAAAGACACCTCTCTCTTATCTAAAAAATGTATTAATGACTGGTAGAGCTCAGCAGGTGGAAAAGTGTTGTGCATTCCTAGATAAGTAAAACCTGTAGGTATGCTAGTAACAGAAAATACTTACAGCTGAAACCTTTGATGCGTCCTGTAGCAGCACATGGATGAAGGTGGCTGTGAGTTCCAGAAGAAGAGACAGATGATTCTAGAAAAGGCCAGGTTTGAAGCCCAGCTTGCGTGCCGCGAGTATGAGTGGCATATGTCGATCAAGGTAAACGTAGCACCAGACCTCTGGATGTAGTCTCTGTCCTCCGAGTGAGCTGTCTACGGTCGTGCTTCGCAGTGATCCAACGGTCGTGTGTCTGTTTGCTGTGTTAGCTGCCGATCACACCTCTCTGAGCTTTTCACGTGTCGCATTTCATCCAGCAGCCTGATCCACGTGTGAACAGAGAGGGAACGTGTTTCTCTGTTGCTACATGCGAGTCTCAATCTTTCACCAGTTACTCACAGGCTTTCTTGGGAAATTACTAACTGGCTAAACTGAAGGTGGGTTTACTGAAAGCCTTTGTAGTGGACAGTAGAAAAACAAGTGGCTGGTGTTTTCTCTCTCCCATGTTTGTGTGCAACATTCATCTGCTGAAGTGGCTGTGTGACTTGAGGTCTCTGTGTTTTGTTTGTTTTATAAAAACACTGTTTCAGGGTTATTTTTGTAATTTCATGAACTATATATTATGATGTTTACTATTTATTGGATTAACACCAAAACTTTATTTTTTTATATTTTTGTACTACCTTTATTTATTTCTGTGTTAAAGCATCGGTTAAAACATCCAATGCTTAAAACAGTAATACCAGAATTTGTCTTTCTATTGCTTTTTTCCTTTTTCTTTCTATTATTGTAGGGTCTTTACAATAAAGTGCCTTGAGGCAGCCGTTGTTGTAATTTAACAATGGTTACAAATAAAAAAATTTGAATTCAATTAAAAAATTGAATATATTTCTGTTGTAAAACATACCATATTTCCTCAAATTAGATTAGGAATGATAGGTTTCTGTATGGAAGACACTGAATTGAATGTACCTTTAAGTTTATGTTACATGGGGTGTTTTGGGCAAGGTCTGTTTACATTTGCAAAACTTATGGATGTTGTCTAAAATGTTATCCTGTTTTGTCACAATTAATTGTTCTTTGTTTTCTCCATTATGTTAACATGTTTTCTTGTGTTTAGCTAGCTAACTTAATGTTTACAATAGCAAACCTGTGACACTATGAGTGCAGTGGGTTTCTGCTTTGATGGTCATCACTCTTTGTACAGGGCTGTAAGCAGCATTGTATTTAGAACAAATGGAAATCAAAGAAGATATATATTGCAGTGTGTTCTGCATATATTTTAAACTGCTGTTGTTCACATAAGAAATGCAAATTCAGATCAGATGTTATTACCAGGTGAAAATATGGAAGACGAAGTAAAATCCACGTAGGACTTTTTTAAAATAAAAATAAAGCAGTCTTTGGAAAAGAATGTGTTCCTCTCCAATTTTGTTGAATTACACATCTCTGGAGTGTTGGTGCTGATACTAAGCTAGTCTGCTGTATCTGTGTTTCTGCTTGCCATATGAGTTGAGTGATGGTTGAAGGCAGAGGAGGTAGGAACTGAGTGGAGTGTTCTGAGTTCAACTTTAGGTCACTGAGCTCCTGTTAGTCTGCACAGGTTCATCACAGGAGTGAATGTGTTTCTGTGTACTTTATCTCTCTCTGTGGAGTCATTCATAAGTCTGTGCCATTGAAAACTGCACATGAAGCACAGGATCAAGAGTGTCCAGCATTTTTTCATTAAATTGACTAAAATAGGACTGACTTTAATTTTTGTTTCCATTTCTGTTGTTGTAGCGAAATGACAGATCTCCAGTGAGCGGACCTCCATCCTTCTCCAGCCCACCCTTTGGACTGAAACCTCGTTCGGGTGAGTCAGCTGAGATAGTGGACCAGGTTAACTGGAGTACCAGATGTACAGGTTAACAAATTGTTTTTTTTTTTTCTGGACAGAGTATACTTTCAGTTACCGCACTGTGATGATTTAATGGCATTTACTATGCTGGTTGCTGAAAAAAAAAATGCACAGTCTGAGTATATGATGAACACCTGATTTTGACATGAGCTCTGTTGCTCTAGTCATACAGTTTGTAGCTTATGTAGTTTTAATTTAAGCTTAGCCTAGAGCTCAACATTGTAATTGATATAATCCACATTGGTTAAACAAGAGGGTAGGAAATTGTCTTTCTTTTACATGGCTTTATATGGCTTTAAAAACCCTAAAAGCAAAACTTTCTACAGGTGGGTGAAAAAGCAAACGCACTTAATTATTTTTCTTCTAAGGCCCTAAAAGGGTGTCAGCTTTAATACACTGCTGGAAATGTCATCATAATGTTGGTCCTGGATAAACATTAAAACTGACATTGTTTGAGCGTTCAGCTAATGCTTTGAAGAACTCTTGCTCACAAACCAACATGTATACCTAAATTTGACTAACAGCAAACCTAATTTGGTAATATATTTATTATTTTGTATAAATTAACAACTTGAAATTCTTACCATTTGTTCCAGAATCTTATACAGAGTCTTATACAAACTAAGGCATTTTTCCCGAACATTGCAATGCTATGAGATCATAACAATGTGACTGGTCAGTTGAAATGTTGATCCTGGACAAACAATATTGAACAACACCAACACGGGCATATCAGATACACCGCTGGAAACCCTGAACTTAGTCATTAGCTTAACGCGAAGCAGCAGCAGTCATGTTGTGGCAGCTTGTGGCCCCTGCTCATCAGCTTTATTTGCAGAATGATAGAAAGCTTCTGCCTCATGCTTTATTATAGTTGGCAACCATCCAGCTTTTGTTTGCTGTTACCAGTGTGAAATGATGCTAACCGCTAATGAAGCTAACATGATGCTAACAGCATGTGAGAGTGATTTGTAATGTGAAATGCCACTAATCTTTATTTTGTTTTGTGCCGTTTTGTTTTGTGTCTTGTCATCTCATTCTGTTTCTTTGCTTCACCTTTTTTTACCTTTTCTGATTTATTTTTTTGTTTGTTTTTTGCCTTTTTTGTGGCACTTTCATTTCTCCTGCATGACCTTTGATGTTAAAAATCACATAAACACTCATTTAATCTGACCTGCCTGCATTTTTGAATCAATACCTGCTTCATTGATTCCTGAAAACTAATTCACACTTTCTCCTGGTGATTTTTGCTGTTTTTCGGGGTGTGTTTTTTGTGGAATGAACTTTGCCTTGCTGTACTTGGTTCACCTTGATGCTCACCCTACCACCACCACCTCCTCCAACTACCTTCCTTGCACTACACACACCCCCCACCTCCTGCGTCTCTGAACACTTCCCACTTCCCACCCGCCTGGTTGTAGCTCCACCCTCGCTGCCCTGCTCGCCCCCGCCTTCCTGTCTCGACCCCTCCCTCCTCCCACAGGCCTCGCCCCTCCATAGAGATACACCTCGTAGCCATGACGACGGAGGCAATCACAACCGGGGTAGGTCCCGCTTTATCTGCTAATTGGCCAGATGACACACATCTGGGCTGAGCTGTCTGCTGACAAACCCTGGGTAGGGACCGTTTTCTCTTCAAAGCCAGAAAAGCCTGTCATTACTGGTCTTTAACTTTAAAGGTGGTCTTTAAATGTGTTTTAAAAAACAAAAAAACATTTTGAATTTAGTCTTTTGTCTGTTGTTTTTCTGTTCATTAGTCCACAACTTGTTTACCATCCTATGTTATATCATATCATTTTATTTAACACCAGCAGCACTCACAAAAAGTGACCGTATCAGAATTGGTTTTCAGAGTCATTGCTAAGACAGCTGTCATAGCCCCCCTGTCCTGAAAAGGATAAGCAAAGAGGATTGCTAATTAATTAATTAACTAATTAATTAAGGTTATATCATTGGGAATTACTGATCTATACCAGGTTTAATTTCAGAGTTCCAGGAACAGAGCCATTAAAAATGAAAAACCAACCTGATTTGAATTTGGGCGATCTCCTCTCGCAGTCACCTCCAGTGCACGTAAAGGAACCATTTCCAGCACAGCTGCTCTTGTTCTATCACTCCATGGAAACCCCATTATGACTATATAACTGTCAACTCTGACTTCACCACAGCCTTCAAACTTTCACAGCCATGAGTGCACACATCAGCTTCTCTCTATCTGAACAGCGTTGCTATAGTTTTGTATTTTTCATTACCTTTTTCAATTTTAGGTTTTCTTTTAGTTTAGTTTAGTTAGATTCAGTTTTAGTTTTTAGTTGTAACAAGGCTTTATATTTGTCAGAATAAGCATTATTGATACACATGTGAAGGTCCTTTAATCCCAGTCATGACATTCACAGCCTGGTTGTGCTGACAAAAAAGACTAAAACTAAAGGGAATTCCAGGATATTTTTGTATTTTTCTGTACTGTTTTTCTTTTCTAAGTTGTGCTTTTTACATTTTTTATTTTTATTTCAAACCAAAATGTTTTCCCCACTGAGCTTTTAGTGCAATAATATAAGGGTGACCGTTTTAGCACACTGGAGGCTATCGAGGAGGCGCATCGCAGGTTGCAGAGAGATATTGAAAAACAGCGGCTGTGCTGTGGAAGCCATCCAGGCATGAAGACAATGGTGTTGAATGAGAGATCGGGTATGGTTTTTTATTTTTGATGAAGGAAATCTCGGAACAGATTGTTCTCAATCTAGCTGTGATCCTTGATAATGCTCTGAGTCTTACGTTGTTCTTAGTGGCAGGAAGGCTCTTGCCAGCGATGTTCTCTGCTGCCTCCACCACTCTCTGTAGCTGTTGGCATAGCAACTCTCACTGTGGGACTGTGTACCCCCCTTAATGTTGCTTCCTGTAGTTCTCACTTCTCAGTCCAGTGTACCGGCTCAAATTTGGGGGGAAAAAGTCTCAGCTATTTGGCAAATAACTGACAATATATTTATTAGTTTTAAACAAGTTTTTGATTTGTTCTTTCTCAAATATTTGTGTGGTCTGATAAATTTCTTGAGCACAGTACCTCAAAAAAAGTATTTGCCTGTTGTACCTGCAGAAATATGTCACAAATAATTTTATAATCTTTTCGAGTTAGCCTGAGTGGCGATTGTAAAAGGAGTAAAGGAGCTGTGGCCTCCTTCAGTTTTCCTCCTCAGTTAAAGAACAAGCAGTAATGTCTGATGATGTGGTGTTGGGCTGTCAGCAGGCATCTGAACGTGCAGACATTTAAGCTGCAAACAAGCTGAGTTTTTTAAATTTTATTTATTTTTTAATCTTGACGACAGCATTTTGGACAACCTTTTGACACAGAGGGTCTGAGTTGGTGTTCACCTGTGGTTTTAAGAAACTTTATTGCCATCTCATCAAGCTGCGACTCACTGGCTCCTCTCGTTAGTGCGAATGGGGACAGCAGCTTCCTTTCCTTTGAAATTCTGTCACAGCTTTCTCTTCATTCCTCTCGTCCACTGCCACTGTGTGTTTCTTTGCCTCAGACCACATGTTAGGGTGTTTCAGATTAGCGGCTCTGCATGCACGCGCGCGGGCATACGTTTGTGTGTCGAAACAGCAGACTGTGATCAAAGACGAGCTTCACCGCACTCTGCTTTCATCTCCAGCTGTTCCCGTGTGTGTGTGGTGGCTGTGGACTAGCAGGCGCACGTGGTAGAAGTTAGAGCTGATGTCATGATTTGTGCGTGCGACTGCAGCTGGCTTGTGTGATCTAGAAGGTCTGAAATTTACATTTCTAAGAAAATAGCTATTGTAACAAACCAAGTGTTTTGTTGCTTCTATATAAGTGAGTGTGTTCTAATGACTGAGAATCATCAAATGCAGCTTGCTGATTCAAAGGAAAACCCCAGTGCCTTACAAACTGGGGTCTAGTAGTCTGACACCTTTGGCTCCACAGTGCAGGAACCACATGTGATCCACAGGTGGCTAACCTGGGGGGAAATTTGCCCACATGGGAGAAATGTGAGATTACGCAATATGCACAACCCCGCAGTTCACTCACAGGTACCCACTGTTTGCCTGAACATGCATGTTTGCTGGACTGAGTTTGATCTGGCAGAGCTTCTTGTCAGGCATACATAGCTTCCCCAGTCCTCAGTGCTTTCATAAATGCTGAATGAGGTTGATTTTTGTGGAGGAAAGTCCATGATGGTCAGCGCAGACTTTTTGACTCTAACATAAATGTTTGTAGAAGTAGTCTGCATGCCTAGGTGTTCAATTCTCTATACCTGAGGCCATGCAAGTGATTGGAACGCCTGAATTCAGTGGTTTGAATGGGTGAGTGTAAGTTCTTGCACTGTAGTGTATAATATAGTGTATCTTGGCAAAGCTGTCTGCTCTGCTGCATATGCACTGAGCTGGGCACACTGAGTAAACCTGTTACTGGTGGACCTTACATCTTACTGAAGTTGTCCTTCTTGCACTTGAGCAAAATGAAAAAAAATGTTGTTATTAGGTTTTTTTTTTTTTTAATGCGTTAATACAAATACTTCTGTTCTCATACTTCACTCCAGAAGGAACAGTTCTGTTTTGTGTCGGCTTTCTCGTGACACTGCCTGCATGTGTTGTGAGTTAAAATGTCTTAAGTCTTACCATTACATGGCTTGCAGCATCAGAGACCGTATTAGGAAAGTCTGATACACACACGCATACAATTGGAGATGTATGCGTGTGTGCATGTATGAAGTATCAATGAGTCTGGGTTTCGTGTGCGTCTATTTTCGGTTCCTATATTTTAAGCGTCAGATAATGGTCCCTAAAGGGGTATCCTACTTCCACTGGAATAGAGTCCAAGATAGTAGATGGATCACAGCCGTGTCATATTTTGTTTATCTTCATCAGCACCAGTTTCAACTGCAGACCACAAAGTGTGGACATGTTTTGCCTGGTTGTGACTTTAGGACAGGGTTCACACTTGGATTAACAGTCAAGTTTGGCTGGGTCATTTAGCTGTAATGTTTAAGGTTAAAGGGGATGTTAAAATGCAGTGTGTTGAGGAAGGTTCTAACAGAGCTAGAAGTTATTTTTGTGCGGCCCAGAAGAGAGCTGCATTTTAGTCGTTTGGTCCATAAAAGGCTCTGATATATTGCGGCGACTCTTAGCTGTGAGCTGTTCACACACTCGCTGTAATAACTCTTGAATGTTCACAAATCTGTTACTAACCCTCAGAGACTCTTTAAACTTCACTTTCTCACCACTTTCAGTTTTTAAGTCTGACTCATTTTCATTTCACTCTTGTAACATTTTACATGTGTTTCCCTTTTCTGCCCTCGCTATATAAAAAACGCTTCAAGTGTACTGATGCTGAACTTAAAAATACAGTGATTCGGTCTGTTGATGCTTACTTTCACACTGTAAGCTATCTGACTCGCGTCTTTGAGCTGCTGCGCTCCCAGTGTTTGCTGTTGTAAGGAGAGCATCATTAGTTATCTTTCAGTGGCTTCCTGAAACTCTTTTTGAAGCACAACATTTCTACACGAGCCCCTTATGTGTAAGCGTGATAAGATCGTGACTAATGGTCCGTAATGGGTTCAGGCCTCAGGGAGAATGACATCATGCTCCCATCGTCAGTGCGCCTGACCTCATTAGTGACCAATCATCACCTTGTGTGAGTGACTTCAAGTGCAGATGCATGCACAGACTGCATGTGATCAGTCTTTGAATACTTGTCTTTTTAAACATGTGACTACTATCATTTTTTTGTGCCAGTTTTAAAAATGGTTATGTAAACCATCAGAATCCATAAAAAATAATCAAAGGACATTTGGATTACTTGATGGAATTTACTGCAGGTTACACTAAAACATGTTTTGTTGCAAATGTTTATTTTTCTTCCTCTTTATACATATGAAAATGACTTCTGATCTCATTTACACTGACTGAGGCAAAATGGAAAAGTGTTGTATGGTCAGACAAATCAAAAGTGGAACTAAAGAGGAGAGGAACCATCCGACTTGTTATCAGCAGTCAGTTCACAGGTGCGCATTTCTAATGGTACGATAGCAGCAGAAATGTATATACAGGTTTTAGAGCAACACGTGCTCCCATCCAGACGACACCAGTGTCAGCAAAGTCCTTCATATTTCAGCAAGACAATGCTAAACTGGAAGTATTACAGTAGCATGGCTTCATAGTAGAGGATCTTTCACCAATTACAATCTTTCCACACATTCTGAAATGTAAAATACAGCAAAGAAGCTGTTTAGCAGCTACACTCCTGTATCAGTCAGTCCAGCAGCTGCTCTCCTCAGTTCCCCAAATTTTATGGACTGTTGCTAAAATATGATGTTACTACATATATGATGTAAATTGAGATGCTACAGTGCGGTAAACCCAACGTTTTTGAGACCTGTTGCTGCCATCATATTCAAATTGAGCTAAAATATTTTTTCTGTGTTATGCTATAAATAAAAGGATTTATGAGATTTGCATATATTTGCATTGTTTTAATGTACATTTTGTACAGCGTCCCATCTTCTTTGGAATCGGGTTTATGTAAGCAAAGGCCAGGAGCGTTTAATCAATTGTAATTAAAAAGGCAATCAGCCAGTCTTTGATAGTATACTAACCTGATTGAATACCTTCAGATGTGAACAGTTACTGTGTGACAGCCTGTTATATCAGCTCCTGCTGTTTTTTTTTTTTTAAGGATTCAATCATCCAAAGTCAATATTCATTGCTTTTTGTGTTTATCCTTGGAAAATGTGGTTACCTTTGCTTTTCAAGTCTTGTCTTGTCAAGCCTGCGTGTGGCTTTTTCATCTCATTTTACTCTCATTATTGGAGAATTGGCCTCAGTTCTACTGCCTGTCTACTTCATAACATGTGTGTGCTTTAGTGTGAAAGTGTACAGTAGAAACGTCAGCTCACCAGCTTCAGCCTGAACCAACACACTGTTTGGATCCCTCTGTCAGCTGATTCAGGGAGCATCCAGATGACTTATGGTGAATGATTATGGATAATAAATGGATCTCGACCACCTCTGTACCACTTAATGACAAGCAGCGGAGCCGTTGACATTATGAAAGATGTCTGCAGCCACCATGATGAAAGATGTTCCACACTTATTCTTCTTTGATTAATATTATTTATTTATTGCTTTTATTGTAAACACAGCCTGGGATGCTCTGTCAGTATTGCTGCAGTTTGTAGTCCAAATTCTGCTTAGATTGAAGTGTTTAATTTTTTTATGTTACCAGTTACAAATCAGGAGGGTATTTGGAGGAAAACACCAACAAGCAGGACTTTGAAAGCCCCCCCCCCCCCATGAAAAAAAAACCTTCAGAGAAGAGGCACAGAAACAAGATGCTACAGGCTCAGAATGTCCAGATGGCAGAGAGACAGAGAGATATTTAGAGAGAAGAGGAGGAAGATGATGAAGAGGAGGGAGTGTTGAGCAGCTTGTAGCATGACGTGACCCAGAATATAAACCGAGTGAGAGAAAAACGTTTGCCCTTCACCATATTCCCCTTCCTCTTCGTCTCAAACAGCGAGCTCAGGCCAACCAAATGATTTTTCACACTAAGACGGTAATCCATTATCCTTTAGTGGACCCCAGCTCCTCCATCTGCTGTTTCACCAGAGGAACTAGGCTCCAAGGTCCAGGTAGATTATTTTACCAACTCAAAAAAAACGTCAACTTGATCAGTGGGTTTAGTCAAAGAGCTTCATTCAGGTCAGAGGAATGTCAGTGTTGACAGTGCAGAGTTGAAATGTGGGTAAAACTGTTGAAAACATTCACACCCTGAAGCCCTCTCATCTTCTCCTCCCCAAAACATGAGATGACCCCCACTGAAAAGCCTGGAGCTCCCTCCTGTGGTCGCTCAGTGGAACTGCACATTCACGGGCAGTGTTCAGCTTCATTCAGCTGTAAGAGGCTGATGTATGCGTGTGGAAAATAGGACAGTGAAGAGGTGAATGACTCAGAGTTTAGCGGTGTGCCTTTCATGAGTGTGGGTGTGTAGGAAGAGACCAAGTGTGTTTCACACTCGGTCCTCCTACACACGCTAAATAAAAGTGCATCTCGTCATCTGCATTTCTAATCCGAGCTTCTCTTCACTTTCTGCTCCAATTGTTGATATTATTTAAATTGGAGCTGGAACAGTCCAATCCCAGCAGCTGTTTTGATCTTTAATTTATGCTTTTAGTTGGGTTTTTTCAGGCAAAAGTAAAGCGACTCTGCAAATATTTACATATTTATTTTAATCTCCTCAAAAGAACGAAAGAGC